TTTTTTGTGGCCCAGTTTCTGCTGTGGAAGCAGCGCCTTCGTACTAGAGCAGGGCAGAAGTGTGCCGGCGGGGCTTGGGCTGAAGTTAGCTTGTTTTTAAACCTGGAACAGCCGAAGCTTTATTAATCACCTCTGCAGCTCGGCTACACCAGCGCTTGTGGGCCAGGGCCCTGCAGCAAAATCTGACAGTGCGTTGGTAAAATGAGGGGAGTGCTTAGAATGTCTCAGCCCATCTCTTTGGGGTTTTGGGTTAAGTTTAGAAGGTATTTTTAAAGTGTAAAACCAACATGTTTGCCTCATTGAATAAATGTTCCTATTTTAACAGTTATTACTGGCTCTGACAGCGGACAAAGTGAAACAATATGTTAATATCACAGCTGACTTCACAGTTACTGAAGGCTTCACGAATTGCAGGTAAACAGATGTTGTGTGACCTAATTTTCTGTTGTTTCTGTTTTGTTTTGTTTTTTTCTGGGGTAATTGGGCTCCCAGAAATTTCTTTTCCAGCAAGCAGTGTAAGAGTGGTGAGGCTGTTGTTGATTCAGTGGTTGTGGAATGTTTTTATGTCTCTGATCTATTCTGTCAGTATTGTGTAGCTCTGATTTGACCTCTTTTAAGCTTAGGAGGAGATTCCTTAGCAGAAAGGCTTAACAGAGCGAACACTTGCTAGCCAGTCCAAATTGCACTTACACAGTCTTCACAGTAAAATAGCGTATAACGTGATTTTAGCAGATGGTCTTATGGCAGTGTAATTAAAAGTTCAAATTAAAACAGTTCTTCCTTTTGTGATGTGAATATAATTTTTGTAAACAGGTTCCTTTATTAGGTTATTCTGGCCACAGTTGTCTGGCGGTTTGAGAGCCGGTCAGAGCTTTTCTTAAGGTACTGTTTGAAAATTCTACCTCTTAAATGAAATTCTTTTCGTCTTAAAGGCCACCTTTTGCCAAGGTCAGTGTCTTCCTTTCTTTGCTGTCATTCTACATCTGTGCACTATTGCACACAGCCATCTAACAAGAGTGGAGCCCAACCTCAGCGGTGGTATGCTCTGGACCCTGAACTGGAAGAGATGCTGATCCCCAGAAGACTTTCCATCAGCCCCTTAGAAAGCTGGCTGACGGTTAGGTACTCCCTTCCTAAAGCAGAAGTCCTTAATGCTCAGGAAGACGTGGGCTATGAACCTCTCCAGCAGTATGACTGTCCCCCAGCTGGTGAGGGAGCTGATGTGGAGGAAGGAGAAGGAACGCTTAGCAACAAGCTTCAGTGTAAGAATGTTTTGAAGATTCGCAGAAGGAAAATGAACCGGCACAAGTTCAAAAAGCTGCTAAAGCGCAGAAAGTTTGTACGGAGGAGGATAAAGGAGGGTCGCAAGAAGAAACGTCAGGTAAGCTCAGGGTAGACAGAACTTCCTGACATAAATGTGTCCACTTCTCAAACTGACCTCTGTGCGGGTCTCGGATGATTAGGTGGAATTGATTTGAGGAAAAATGGCAGCAGCTTGGAGAGCCTTAATGAAGTCAGTATTTACTGGTACAGTAGTTTTTTCTGGTTTGTGTATGACCTGTACATATTCTTGTAATTTAGAATATTTCTGTCGTTGTAAAAATATGTGCGATAGTTACTAGGCATAATTTTTCTTGCATGACAGTAACTTTCATGTGGCTAATGGAGAAGAATTTTAGTGTTTGTGTGAAAGATTAATTCACGTGTCTGGTATACCAGAGGGGCTGGTTTAATCTTAATTTCTTTCTTGTCTCAACATCCTTAAGTGCTTCCTATTTTTTCTATATAGAACCCTTTTACTTCCCTTAACGGAAGGGTTGAGGGAAGACATGGGCCTTCATTCAAACTGTAGATGTTCTCATTCAACACTGCCTTTCAATTAGTCTGTTGGGTTTGCTGTGATATAGTTTAGTTCATTCTCTGGTAATTTTTACCTTGTCTAGGTGCAAATTGGGGTTAATTGTAATTCCATTTTTCCAGATTTTTAGGAAGCAGTGTTGAACATGTTACGATGAGGAAATCCTCTTAATTTTCTTACAATTCTGTTTTCCATCCCCTCAGTTTTCCTTGCACAGGACTTTTAAAATAATGCTACCAAGATCCTTGTGCATTTTAATGTATTTTCTGCAGTAAGGCTAACTATTGTGACATTTAGAACAAGCTGCCTCGTTAAAATTTGTGTGCGTTATACCTAGATTCTCCTTGGGACACGTGGGCAGTGGCCGAATACTTGAGTGTTGTTTCGGAGCTATGTTACCAGTTTTCTTTCTTTTTTCTTTTTTTTTTTTTTTTTCCTTCTGTTTTAGATAAAATTTGAGAATGACTTGGAGCGCATCTGGAAAAGAGCTGGTTTGAAAAGTCCTCCTGCAGGATGGCAAACACCCAAGATATTTCTGAAAAGTTCAAAGCGATAAAAATACTTGTAATGAGTTTTAACCTGTAACTGTAATTAAAAAAATATTTAAGTACATGGATTACATTTAACCTTTTTCTGAGTGTGATGAAATTAGTAGGAGGAAACTTTCAATCTTGGTGAACAGTTTTCCAGGGACAAACCTGACAGCAATGTGCTTTTCCTCCCCAGAAGAATGGTGTGAGCTCTTGTATAGTGACTTGGCACTGCTGCTTACAGTCCTGTGCTGCTGCTCCCAACTATGTCTGAGCAAAAGTGTCTTGGACTGCAACTGAATTTCTGAAGTTGCTATTTAAGATTAGACTGAATGATGTACTGTAAGAACAATCAGTTGTGGGAGTTGGGATAAGTGAAAGAATTCTGATTGTATATAGACACAAGCATTTTGAAAAGTTCTTTCAAATTGGCATTCTTTTGTAGCCCTACTATAGAAGGGCTGGTTAAGAGTTGTGACATATGAATTGGATCTGAATTTCATAGAATATATCTGCAAAAGCTTTAATTTTCACTTACCTGAAGCCTCGGTGTGCATATGCCTTAGGCATTGCATGAGCGTCCTTAAAAGGCTTATTTTTTTTCTGTTTTGTGCTAATAAAAAAATTGTTATTTTCTTTCTACAATAGACCCCTGTCATACTGAACATTCGGATATTGGTATCAATAAAAGTTTAGAGCTAATTACTCATTAATTACAAAACCTGCTTTGGGCCTGAGGCAATCCTGTTGTAATCAGCTGATTTTGTATGATTGAAGAGAGTCGTGAAAGCTGTGAAAAATATAGGTGTATAAAATAAACCCTGACAGAGGACTTTATATCTGAGTTCTGGTTTGGGTTCTGCTTTTAATTTTTCTGTTTGAGGCAGTTAACTTGTTTTGTGTGACTTAGCTCTTCCCTGTCTGTGTTGTAGCAGATTGATGGGGTGGAAAAAGAATCGACTCCCTTAGGCTCATCATTCTGTGGCATACAGGGAGGCGACCCTGAGAATGCTTTCCCTTTTATCTGCTAGGAGCAGAACATGTGACTAAACTGAAAGGGAAGAAAATAATAATCTGGAACTTGTTGCTATAAGGTATAATTTAATCTTGCTGCAGGAAGGACAGGTGACTCCTCGCACACAGTGAACGTGTCTGAGGTTCTGTGTATGGTGCTCTGGTGTTCTTGTCACTAGATGGCAGTGAATTCAAAGGCTCTGAAACTCCTTAGCCATTAATGTAGAAGCTAGCTGGCTCTTTATGTCAGTATTTTAATGAAAGGATGCACCCATATTTAAAAATTGATTAATCTTGCTAGAAAACTTGGTATTCTGAGAACTGTATTGATGTCCTGTAAAAACAAGTGGTTAGCACATTTTAATAGTTCCTTTTTTCCAAACTATATGTTAACAGCAGGCAACTTTGATCAAAAAAAATTAAAAAGATGTTCTGTCCCTTTGGTGCTTTAAATAGGCTGCAGTTGCTTTTAACCAAGATCAGTAGGACTATTTAATTTAGCCTATTGTCAGGATTTCATGAAGAGGAGGATGTCTAGCCATGAGCCTCAAACTCGCCAAGCAAGAGAAGATTGAGTGTTGAGTCTGGCTTACGTGTTTGTTCAATATGCAGAGCGCATCTAGGCGTTTCTAAAATACCAATACGCACTCCTTGCACAAAGATGCATATATGAAAGGCTGGGGCCTGAGAGCGTTAGCACCTTTGAAGTCAGGTCCCTGTCTGTCTTCCCCCCCCCTCCCCCCAGGCACATTTGTTTTGAGAGCCTTTATGCCTGCATTGTTGGTCTCTGTCAGTCCTGTGGCTTCTCTTACTGGATCTTAGTCCAAGTTTGCTGGCTTTCTGTCTAGGGAAAAATGGTAATCAGTTTGCACACTTCCAGGAGATTGCTGGTTGCTGAAGAGTTGGGATGCCTTTGGAATTACACAGAGCAAAAGACTTAGACAGCAGTAGCATGCCCTGCTCATTTATTAGTGCTGTACCTCTGATTCCAGTTTTGAGGTTTATTCTTCTTTGATTTTGTTTTACTTAATCCTATAACTTGCATCTTCTAGTCTCTAAATCTACAAACTGCCCGAGGGTACGTTATCTCTTTTTCTCCAGTAGGACTTAGGTTGGTCTTATTTCTCTCTACTTTGGCATAAAACCTCTCTTCCTTTTGGGGAGCATCACGATGTGGCTGTAGTTCACAAACTTGTCCATTGTACTCATGTCTGCTGGGATCATGCAGGCAGAGAACTTTGCCATTTTCCTGGATGAGCACCACCAGCTTGCTTTCTAACTTGTTTTTACACTGGGATAGGAACTAGGAAGAATTAACTAAAATAGTGAGAATTGCAAAGAATAATCATTCAATACCTTGTGATGTTCCAGTGCAAGTGAGTTCTTGTACTTGGCAATGATCATGTTTTATTAGGGTACTTGTGTGGTGAATTGCAAGTCTCCACGAAATAGCTTATTAAATGGTATGCTCTCTGAGTTGTAGTCCAGTCCTCCAAATTGTAGTCTGTCAAGAGTAGTCATTACTTTTACATCTATTAGACATAATTACACAACTATGTATAGAAGTCTGGAACTACTGTATAATTTATAAAATTGTCTGTAAACTATCTCTGGCAGTTACTGCCAGTCTTAGTCATACAAATGCTATATTCCTTTTTGCTGAAGAACCTCAAAGCATGTCTCAGGATTTGTATTTTCTGTGTGGCAGACACTGCAAAGACTCTCTGTCTTACGTGGCACTAATCAGATAATATATACTAGGGTTGTATCAATTTGCTTTAACTCCCTTGACCACAGGATGCAATTTTAAACTCTCTCACTTGCTAAACAGGGAGAATCAGAGACACAAAAGCTACACCTATTTTTCTGTAGGGGGAGCATGAGTACATAGTATACTCTTCACAAAGCTTTATTGTGAGTTGCTGTTCCTCTCCAAAATATGTGCCTACCAAAGTACCTGCACACTTAGTAATTGTATAGTTACATATGCATAATATAGTTGTAGTAGTAAAAAAAAAAACAGGGGATGCAAACAGGACAGGTTTGACCTTTATAATTCTCAAAATATTTAAGACTTGAAGATTTCTCCTGCATCTCATTATTATTCTGCTGCTCTGAGAGGAAATGGTTGAAAGTCAGCAGGAGGTTGCTAGAGGAATTTGTGCTCTGTATTAGAGAGACTGGAGTTATCCGGTGGGGATGGTGATTTTTGTTTTTGAAACTGCCTGACGGTCATTGGTCTGGAAAGGTCCTTCAAAATGGGAGTATGAAACCAATTACTCTCATGCTTAAGTGCATGCAATCCAAGAATTAGGGACATAAATACAGACAGCAAGCTCAGCTGAACAGAAAATCAAGTTTGGTGGTTTTATCACAGCGATCAGGTTTGTGCTGAAATGAGTTGGCTCTAAAATAGGAAGTCAGCTGAGTCAGAAGGGATGAAAGTTCTGAATTTTTCTCTTAGCTGAAGCATGACATTACAAACTCAGAGGGTGTTCTCCCTTTCAGAAAGGTCAAAACCCAGCAACGTGGTGGTAGTGGGCTTCTGACATAGATGTAGCAGAAATACCATTTCTTTCTAATGCTAGCAAATAATGGTTGCTGGCAAACTTGAGATTTTAGTTGTCTCCTTGACCTGGATAGCAGTGATTCTTACTAGGGTAGGAATTAAATGCATTTTAGGAGTCTTCTCTAGAAAATGTGTTGTTCAATTGCATCAGTATGGATTCTTGAAGTTTTTTAGAGGATTCTGGACATAAAATAACAGTTCTTTCATCCACACAAATTGATCCAATATAACTTACAAATAACTTAGAGCTGAGAATGAGGCCCGATTGGATATGGGAAAGGGAGCAATACAAAAGAACTGCTTGCTGTAGCTTTTCCTCAACTGCTGTGGTCTCTAAGACAATCCAAGATAGATTTGCTTGGCACAGCGGTGGAAAAGCCTGAATCAACTGCCAGTACTTTGCCTAGCTGGACAACTGCTTAGTGGTGCGCAGTGGTAGAGATGAAGTGTTAGTAATGACAAGAGATTCTTAGAAATAATGCTGAAGCAGGAGATCTGTGATACTGATGGGTAGTAGAAAATTTATTTCAGTTACCTTTTTTATAAAAGGTATCAGTCCTATTTCAGTGCAAATGAGGAAGCCAAGAAAGTTGGTAACAAGGATTGAACCCCAAGTGGGTGGAAAGCAGAAGGATTTAAAGCGTGTAAATTGCAGTAGTTTAGCTTAATCTTTTCATGCATAAACAGGAGTTAACTGTAGCACCTCTGATGGTCTGGAGAGAAGAGATTTTTAGCTTTATATGGCAGCCATTTGCTCCAGTTCTTCACAGGAAAAGGCTTCTTGGTAATTGTCTGCGGTGGTTTGGCTCACTTCCAATTAATTCTAGTCAACTTTGAGTTTGTCAGAGGAAAAGGGAAAGTCCAGCAGTCAATACAAGACGCTCCTTTCCTTTGGAAATCTTGCGCTTACCCTGCAAAGCATGTTGGATGGTCTGCTAGCTGTTAAAGCAGCCCTGAGGTCATGCAGACGGAGTCTGAGCTCATGGATGCCCTCTCCATGCTGTCCTTGGCGCAGACAGAAGGACGGTTCTGGCTGTCCAGGAAGGAGTCATGTGGAGAGGAAATGGAGTGGCATGTAATGATGGCTTCGCCAGTTCATGAGACCAGACCTGAAGTTGATTCAAACCAGGAGCTGCATAGGTTGTAATGGGACCAGAGAATTTACATTGAAGGAAAACACCGACCTGAATTGAAGCTGTTTGGAGACTTGCAAAAGGTTTGGGTGTCCTCAAATGCTAAAGCATGGAAGAAAATTTATGTTGGTATTACTGAGACAGTCAGATTTTGTTAGGCTCATGGACTGTCACCTTGAAAGGGTTCAGACTGAAAGAGTTTAGAGTGTTCACAATTTTTTCAGCTATGATTTCATGGGAGCAGGCACGTGAGTGGTGAAGTGCTGAGGACAGGTTGTGGGATGCTCAGTGAACCTGGCTGCACACAACTGTAGCAGCAAATGTAGAGATACACTCTTCATGTTACGGTTGTGTTGGCTCCTGA